GCTACAATTTAATTCTTCGTATTGTTAGCCGACACTAAGAAGCTTGTACATAATTGAATAAAGTTGTTTAAACGTTTGTTTATCAACAAGTAAAAACTTGGAATGGTCTATTCTTTCATTGGGGTTGTGTCTATGAGCCAGATTAGTTTCAGAGAATTCCACTCCTCATCAGTGACCCTGGATACTTATCACATTCCAGATTTGTCCTGACAATTTTATTATGACTTATCATTTAACCTTATGCATATGGGTTGGTAAATTTGAGTGATCATGTAACCACTATGTAATCATACAATTAAGTACTATAACTGAATGTGTTAAGGATATCTTCATGAAACTTAACAGGTTTTTATTAAACAGTACAAGTCTGTTTCATGCAAATTATAAGGTTGTTTTAAATAAAGTATTTTTACTAAAAATGTGTCTAAATTTATGAAGCCTTTATTGAGTTATTCTGAAAGAAAGTAGATTTTCATGCTAAGAGTAATGCTACTTGTTTTCATCTTACAGTTTCATATTTCATTTTCAAAGCATCTAATACCTCCTGAACGAATATTAATGGTTTTATTGGTAAAACTTTGTACTTTATCTTTTATTTTCTTTACCCTAACACTGACTGTAGCAAATTCATCAATGTACATCAAAATATTTAATTGTAACAGCTTCAGCTTTCTAACCTTATCACATCTGTTTTCTTTTAGTTGTATTACTTACAGCACTTTGAAATTTTTTCAGTAGTGTAACAACCAGTATATTATGTGTTGGGAGGGCAGAGAGCTTAAAGTTTCAGGTAGCATCAAGGGACCTCAAAGTCTGTATGTTGTAAATGTTCATTGAGGAGTGATCATAAGAAATGGTCTTATTTAACTTTTTCATTTAGTTTTTTTATTTAATCCAATAAGTTTTAATCTTTATATTTGTGTTACTTTTATTAAAAATAGATGATAATAAATGAAAAATGTACATAAAAAACAAATTTAGCACTTACCCGAGTTACAGGTCTATTTGTACTTGGGAACATTCTTCGATAAGACTATTTTCTCACTTTGTTGGCTATTGCAAAGTATTTTATGTAGCTTGCAAATATGTATTTTAGAACACAAAAAAGGATATCAGGCACTAGAATAGAATGTCCTAAAATTACTATAATTCACCTAGGTTTCTAATTAAGCTATAAATATGTTAAAAAATACCATGACTTCTTGGTACATCATATTTACTTTGAATACATGATCTTCTTGCAAACTATGAGACTTTCACAGCATAAAATAAACTATGGAAGGTAAGGGGTAGTATGTTGAATTTTGCTCATTCTGTTGGTTATTAATATGTATATTTAATATCTACCATGTGGGTTAGAAAATACACTTAAGCTACAGAAATATTGGGAGGTTCTTGGTTTGTAGGTTGAACAATTTTATTTATATCTCAGTAAATCAAGAAAATAGGACATTCTTATTTTATTTTCCAGCATGCCAGTATCCATAGTTTATGTACCTAATTGGTGAGATAGGTTGAGAGACAAAAGATATGAAAAAAATTTGAAAAGGAAAAATCAGAGCACCAGATCTGTCACATGGCATAGAAGTATTAAAGATTGAGAATTTATTTAAGTATTTCCATCTAAAAATAAGCAATTAAAACTTAAATAATAAAAAAACTGAATTATAAACTATGCTTCGATGGCAAGTTTATTGACATAAATTGTTAATAAAATTGTGTAATTAAGTTTTCAATTAACTCCGTAAAAAGGTTGTGACCTGCTTACTTTGACCCACCTATATGCATAGGATTAATCCTTTAATCAAAATTGCATTATTTTTCACCAAGGGTTATGAGAGTCTTGCTAGCGTGTTTTTACTAACATCACTCTGGATATTGGTAAAGGTGGGTCAAAGTGTTTGTCACTCTTTACAAAATTTAATTAAACTAACTTGTTAGCAATGTGTGTAATAAACTTGGAATTAAAATGTAGTTTATAATTGAAATTTTTGTATTATCTACTTTTAATTTCTTAATTTCAAAAGGAAATATTTAAATAAATCCTCATTCTTCACTTCCATGTGTAAAATAACCCTATACACTCTAAATTCTCTTTTTCAGATTTTTTCTTGCCTTTATATGGTTTTCAGACTATCCACCAATTAGATACACAAAGAGCAATAATACAATAAAATAAATGAAAGGAGTTGTGAAACATTAAGAGGCTTAAATTTCTTGAGATAAATAATTGTAATTGTTTATTACAACCTACAGTCATTCTAACATGAAAAGGTTTTTTTTTTATTTAATTTTATATTTATCAACTTTCACTATAGATGATTTCATTATGGTTAGTGTTAGGATGGAGAAAATAAGGGACAAACTATAAAGTTTTACTAAAAGAAAATTGATATTTATATTTAGGAGGCACTTAGGATTATGCACATGAAATATGAAAACTCTAAGATGAAAAAGTATTTTAATTTTTATGAAAAAATCACCTTTCACTTAGACTGACTCAGTAAAGACTTTGTAAATTCACAAAATTCTCTCTGCACAGTAGACTTGTAATGTTTACTACAAGCTTATCAAACTTTCCAAAGATACTCATAATGTATTCAGAGTTATAATATGTATAGTTTCTTGGTTACATGGTGTTAAAAATGACCAAGCCCATATACAGAGAGTTAAATAACTTGAAAGTTATTACATGATTCATGCACTGTTTTTTCCCTGTTTTTTACTGTATTCTAACAGCACTCTCTAGAATACAACTTTTCAATCTTGAGGTTTCCTTTTAGTATACTAAGAAATACAAACTAATATATTTGCTTTTGACTGAAAAACTATGGTTATTAGGTGTAGGTCATGAAGAATTGGTCAAACTGGTGGATCAGCACTTTGGTTCTTTGAAAACCACGTATGAAGGAAAAATACCAATTTTGACTCCTTGCCGATTTTCAGGAAGTGAGGTAGGTGAAAGAAAACAAATAATATACAAAGTTTATACTGAATATAATGCAATTAAAATTTTATTACAGTTTTATAATAACCTAATTGTTTAAAGGAATTGGTTTTATTTTACAGAACCTAAAGTATTCAGGATTATAGAAAAAAGAAAATACATTAACTGAATTTACAGATAATAATAATCATATTGAAAGCTAAATTCTCTCTTTTTTTATCCCTTTTATTTTTCAGAAACTAAACTGTTCAGGATTAAAAAAAAAAGACATTAAGTGAATCTAGAGATGACAATAATTTAATTGAAATCTAAATTTTTGTTTTCCCCACTTTTCATTCCAGATCCGAGTGAGGGATGATTCCATGCCATTTGCTCATGTAGCTGTTGCTGTTGAAGGATGTGGCTGGACCAATCCGGATAACATCCCTTTGATGGTAGCAAACACAGTCAGTATTCCATTCAAACTTTATATAACCTCAGTCATTCTGCTAATGTAATTATATTAGAAGGTTTTGCTATCATGTCACAGTCAGTTTAATAGGCATTAAAAGTATAGCTGGGCAATTAACTTGTTTAATCAGTGTAATTTATTACTTATGAGCATCAGTTACATCAGTTGAATCTAATGTAAAATAATTTATTAATAATAATTACAATTAAATCAGTTAACTTTACAAGAATGAAGATGGTTGGTTTGACCAACCTTGGAACTACATGCTATAAATATATTTACTAAGTGTATTTCAACAAAACTTAGCAAGCTTTTAGTAAACATTAAAAGTCTGTTGTACACAATAAAAGTTTTTAATAAAGCGTTTAAACTAAAGATTTGTCTATAAAGTCTCTCCTGAGGAAGTAGGAGTAAAGGGTTGTTTCCATGCTAAGAATAAAAATATTTCTTTTCACCATATAATTTAAATATTTCATTTGTATAACCTCTGGAACTTCTTAGAAAAGTTGTTAGAATAAAGAAATCATCAATCTACAGTGAAATGAAAAGTTGAAAATGTGAAATGAAAGGAATATTTTTTCCCCTCTGCACTGACAGCAGTATTGATCAAAAAGTTCTGATTTAAGTAACCTTTTCATATTTATTTTATAGTTTTAATGCTGTACCTTGTACCCACTGGAGCACTAATCCTCTCGTCTAAAGCAACAAATCACCAGGGTAGCCCCTTAGCTGTTTCCTGTAGAGCTAACATACACAGCATACGATCTGAGTGTTATGTTACACACTTCACTCAAGATAATAAAATTTTAGAAGCTTTATTTTACTGAAGTTTTGTAAGCTGAGAAGTTTATAATTTTACTCATTAGTTATTTCATTCAAAAAATATATTTAAAAAAGTATTTATTAGTACTCTCTGCATGCTCAAGCCATTTGCCTTCAAGGAAAAACTAACATTGTTCCCTAAGCCTTGTTGAATCTCAACAGTTTTGAGTGTTAAAAAAAATTAATCTAGCTTCCATGTATGCATTTTAGGACTCAAAAACTATATATTGATCACTAAAATAGAATGTCCGAAAATTATTATAATTTATCTGGGTTTCTAAGTAAGTTATATAGGTTAAAAATTTTGTTACTGTTTAGAGCACCAAATTTGATCAACACAAACTAAGCAGTTCTCCTCAGTTATGGCTTAAGATGGCAAAACTGAATACATATTTGTAAGATATATGGGTTATAATTTTTATTGGTTATAATCAAGTTCATCAGCTATATAAAGTTGATTAGCAAACAATCATAAAAATGGGAGAAAGGGTGGAGAGGCTACACTAGCAGAGACCCACAAAACATTTGTGGTCAAACTAGTATCTTTATTACAACATTACTTCTCTAAATACAGGATCACAGGCCTAAACCATGATCAATTATATTTACAGTTAACTAATTTAACAGGAAGCAAACAAATGCCAAATATTAAGCTGTTGTATGAGAACTTTCAATTTCAGAATAATACAAAAGAATTCTAACTGCAGAGAACAAAATCTGTAAGTCCACCTCTGTTAGGCCTAAAAGCCTAACATTAGTTAAGTCTTTATTAAGTACAACCTATATTCGATAAGAGATAAATTACCACTGTAACTTGTGTACATTTTTTGCTTTAGTTTAGTTAGGGTTAAACTTTACCATACTTAATACTATCAATAAATAAACTTATAATGTTATTCTATGACCTAATGTTAGACTTTTTTATTGCATGATTTCAATACTATACTGAATTAAGGGTGAAGCCTCCTAGATTTTTTGTTTACAAAACTCCAACTTGTCATGTTTTTGATGTGTTGAGCAAAGCTAGTTATCACATAAACCATAAGCAGCTGCAATTTAAAAAATACAAAAAACATATAATTGGCCAAAATATAATTTTTCGAATATACCAATTCTGATTTTTAGAAACACATATCAGACAAACGTTTTTAATCAATGGAGACACTAAATTAAGAAATCAACAAATATTTTTCCAGTTTTGCCATCTAAACATTTATTTTTACACTTTCAGTACATAGATTAACAACAATATCAGGTTATGCTTTTGTTGCTAAACAATGTAATATATAAGTCATTGTTGAAAATGTATATCAGACAAGAGTTTTATTATATAAAAGTAATAAACGTTAGAAAATTCTGAAATGGAGAAATTGCAGCTCAGTCGCATCATGTAACTCAGAAAAGTGAAGACTGAGATTTCTTTAGTTTTTTCCTTTTTAAACTAAAAAGTTATAACTTAAATAATATAAAACTTTTAATTATAAACTATGTTTTCATGCCAAGATATTGACATACATTAATAATAAAATTTCACAGTATTACATTCAAAATACAATTACACAGGCAAAAATTGATATTTATGTGTTTTTTAATATCAACTTTTAAATTAAGAAATGAAATAATGTGTAATACTAAAATTTGAATTATGATCTACAATTTGATAGCAAAGTTATTGAGATAAATTCATAAAATAGTAGATCAATAAAATTTTTAATGCGAATCAACAAATGCGATGACATGGCCTTTGACCCATGTGAATAGAGTTAATACTATTCTATGGGTTACACCCTACAAATTTTCAAACGAATAGTCCAGTGAAACTAATTTTTTGCTAAAGGTTATTGCCCTTACATTTCATATGTGAAAACTAGTACAAATGTTAGTCAGTACATGATAATTATTAAATATATATAAAGACAGTACAACATTTACTATTTGGCTAGAAAACTTGAGATGATACTATATGGCCTCTTTGCCTTCACATCCAGGCCTGGTTTATTTGCACCTGTCATGACCGTGTCATGTGATATATTGAATGCAGCATTGGTTCAAATTAGATGTCTGTGATGTCCAAGTACAAAGTCTGTAGTTTCTTACGAATTAGGAACTAAAGGTACTGATTTTAACAAGCTAGAATATCAAATTATAACCTCCTATTTTTTCTGTTTGCTGAGATAATGCTACCATGCATGGAATCAAACAGTGACCCTTGCCCACCTCTTTCCATTTTTGGAGAGACATGTTTACGTACACTTACTTCTGTCTTTGAAGGGTGATAAAGCAATTGAAAGCTCAGAATGTCCACCTCGTGGCTTTCCCAGCATAATTCAAATATTCAGGTGCCAAACTTGATCTTTTAAAGTGTAGATTCAAAAAGATAAGGTGAAACTTAAGTGAGCTCAAAAAATCAAATTTTTTTTTTTTAGACCCAAATTCAGTTTAGTTATGAAATTTGA